GACACGGAACCCCCCAGCGTTAACAGATCTACGGGTATTCCTTCTCCACTATCTGCCCGAACCATGTCCGTTTTGTTCTCCCGGTCTTTAACCTCGGCGTCGTTGACATCGGCGGGGAGGTTATCGACCTTATCGTGGTTCTGCTCACAGTACCTCCGATACATTTTTTCCACCTTAAGGGAGTCGTGACCCACGAACGGCTTCCACGTCCGCTTATCCTCTTTGTAAAACCACCGGACCTCTTCTGGTCCGAGCTCCGTGACAATTTCTCCGCGGTGCCTCGAGCTGTCGGACCGCATTCGCTTCTTAGTCGGGGTATGGTTCCTGTCAGGTTCACTGAGGTTTGTCTCCACGCCCAAAAACGGCGAGGTCGCATATTCCTCAGCAGCCAGGCCCAGCATCATGCCTTCCTCTTGGGACAGGAGGGGCAGGTGCCGCGGCTTCGTTTCCCCGGCTTCAGCGCTGTGCTCGTATCCCGAAACAAATACATCATTAGCCATTACCCACTCACTGCCGAACATGGTGTCCTGAGGATTCTGGTGGCACAGATTTGATTCCTCTGTCATGATGCCTACGGTCCGGAGCTCTTATCCATCCTCGGTTTTTCTCTAGGCGACCCAGCCAAATGATGATGATGATGATGACAACCCAGCCAAATGATGATGCTGATGATGATGATGACGATGATGATGACGATGATTTAAAGCTAACGTTAACTGCGTATAGAAATGCGTCCAAGAAATTCCCGAAGAACGTCCATCGTCTACTCTTATACCTTTATTAAGTTCTTTTTTTCTCAATAGGTCTAAATAAGCTTAAACCAAAATAGCATTTAAGACAGTGCTTCTCAAACAGTGGGAGACACACTAACCCAGACAAAACTACAGCCCGGGGGCCGGATGCGGCCCATTCATCTTTTTAATCCGGCCTGCCAAACTTTTCCATATTATATAACTTATTTATATTAAATGTATCGTAATGCAATCTAATATTATCATTATACTTCTGCATTTTTCCTGCAATACCCACGTTTCCCCAATAGATGGCGGAGAAAATTCTAAAAACATTTTAGCATTTTGACATGTCATTTATCATGACATGTCAAAACGGCATTTAAGAAAGTGAAACTTTTCACATAGTACTAGTAGAATAAATGTATAAAATGATCATAAATTGAATTGAAATTAGGGAAATTACTAAATATACAAATTAAATATTTATAAAGAAACAAAAGGGATATAAAGATAACTTTAGCAATGAATTTAAAAAAAAGAAAGAAATACAAAACGTATATGAAAAAAAAAAAGAATCTTAAGAAACTTAAGATCAGGCACCTCTCAATTGCACAAATCCACCAACATAACCACGACACATCTCAAAAACAAAAAATGCAATTGACCTTCAAAATGGTGAGATAATACTCACGGTTGTCAAAATAGCTCCTGGCATGCATACATGTGTATACATATGTAGCTATATATTTGTGTGTATAATGTATATGTTTATATGTATAGTGTATATATACACTATAATGTATCCATGGGTGTCTTGTGTGTATATGTGTATGTACTGTATGTATATATACAGTATGTGTATGTATATGTGTATATATGCACATGTATGATTAATATCTATATAATCATATCTAATATTATACATAGTAACTCCTAGTAATAATGGTTGTATAAATCTGGTTGGAATACACCTAATACACTATCACATTTGCCGAAACTGGTTATATAGCTAACTATTTATTTAGTTATTTAACAATTTAAACCATGGACGTATTTAAACCAATTATATACCCTGTTCACGTAACTTTTTAAAAAAAATGATTATACATATTTTGCATATATATGTACCACAGAGATAAGGTGCTATACTCTGGTACATAATATGATGTATTTATATTATGATAAATATATAATATAATATATAACGTTATATACGATATATAACGTATTTACATATATAATGGTAATTCTAATTTAACTCATCGCAATAAACAACTAATTTTGAATGCAACTTTCAGGTTTTTTGTGCATCTTAGTGTCTGTGTTGCTGTGGCCAGTAGTTATTGGACAGCTGAAGAACTTTGTCTCTTGTACTACCGTATTCTCTGGACTATAAGTCGCTCTCTTTTTTTCATCTTTTGGCTGGGTTTGCGACTTCTACTCAGCTTATACGGATTTGTCATCCTTAGAATCAACCAAACCTTAAAAAACAGACAGAACAACAGCAGGTATTTTGCTGCGTCACAATGACAAATAATTCACTTTATTGATTGGTTATTTATAGCTAAGAGCCAACAGTAAATATATACAGTCATGATTTTGGATTGACTGGAATATATTAAATATATTTTGTCAAATGTTGAATACATGTGTAGGATCTTTCAGTATATTATGACAGAACACTAAAAAGAAAAATATATTTTGGAAAAATATAATTTTTTCATAATATTGTTTGTCATGATAACTGCTGCTAACTTTTAAATTATATTTGATGGTTTTTATGCTGTATATGTTTATATATATTGTACATATATTTTTTGATAATTTTAGGCATGACGTAGGAGGTCGTAACCCAAGTATTTACAAAGGAAAACAATGAATGATGTGAAATAGTAAATTAATAAATGTCTTAAAGAGAATAGGAAAATATTTCAATCATAAAATGGTTTAAAAACGTTAATTGTTGTTAGAGATTCTAAGTAACGTAATGATAATATAACAGTGACAAAAAGTGTTGTAAATCAGGGTAAATATTGTTTTGAAAATATATTATTCTCGTATTCTATGTTCTTATGTGTAAACGATGTCCCTTGTGCTGACGATCGATTACTCACGTCTTGAGGAACGCTAAAGAACCTGTGTAATGAAAAAATGTGATTTATTTTGACTTTTATTTGAAAATATTCTGTTTGATAGATGTCACCTAGCGCGTTGTACTTTGTAATGTTTAAAAGATTGATTTATCCCCAGTTTTCTTGTCGACTCGCGGCGAATCTGTTGCCCTGTATTCGATTGTTTATGCTTTCTTCTGCCTTGCGAGTGAAGCACTGTTCTGTAAGAGTGGAAATGTGAATAGAAAAAGAGAAAGACATATGTACCAAAGCTGCTGGTGTCGCAATACTTTATACTTTTATATACTTTTTACTTTTATATAAATTTTACGCTCCGCTACCGACACCAAGGCACACCGTAGTACGTTTTACTTTTATATAATTTCTCCACTGCGCTACCGACACCAAGGCACACCGTAGTGACTAACGGTTGGGTTCCTGTCAAATTAAAGGAGGCAAAATACTCAAACATCGAACTGGTGTTATCTGTCCAGCAATATACAGTGTGAAAAAAGTGTAATTAAACCGTGATATATTACCTTTATCCACAGTTAGCTGTGATTAATAGTTGTTGATAATCTGACGAAGCGACATTCATATGCCATATTTTATTTTTTTGAGCTACCCGGCCGCCGTAGTGAGGAAACGTAATGGCCGACAAATATCAGAAGCTCCCACACTGAGCCCTATACATCTGATACAACTACGTAGAAAGAGAAGTGTGTAATGGCAGCTGTTTTTCTGATCACTCTGTATGAGTACTCGCCGCTTTTTCACATTAGCGTGGTTTCGCTATGCTTTCTTGTAACGGCGGCTGTAGTACTTGGCTGGTAAGTGACTGCTAATCGAGATAGCTTAGCATCTTTGTTTTTCCCAGTCTTTTGCAACCAAAACATAGACAGGGACATAGACGCCATAACGTATGGTTGTAACTTTAAAACTACAACAAAACTAGAAATGTAGAAATTACATAATTTACTTATAAAGTACACTACCCCCCGCCCCCAAGACTTGCATTCATATTAAGTTGTAAAACAAACAGGGCACATTTTGCCTTATATTTACAGTTGATAAGCAATGAAAGATTGAGGTGAATGTCTGTGAACAGCAGCGTTTTTAAAAAAATATTTATTTAAATAATACATTTAATTAATAATTATTAATTATTGTAATAAATTCATATTTAAATTATATTTCTTTAAATTAATAATAATATATCAAATAAATTAAATTTATTTAAATGTATCCATTTATTTTTGCAACTCTTTTACTTGCCTAGTTAGAATGGATTCAGTTTAAACCAGGCATAGGCAAACTACGATATGGCTTGTCGTAGTTGGCATGGCCTGTTTGGCCTTGTCCAAATCATATTATTAATTTATATCATAATTATATTTCTGCCTTTTCCCTGGAATACCTACGTTTCCCCAATAGATGGCGAAGAAAATGATAAAAGCATTTTAGCCATTATGCATGAGTTTTACATGTATTTATCTTAGTTCACACGTATGCTCCATCTGCCTGGTCCTGACCCGCCCCCCTGTTCAATTTTAGGACCAATTGTGGCCTTCGAGTCAAAAGTTTGCCCAAAACCTGGCCTAGTTAGTAGGGTCTCAGTTTATTATAATTTAATATTAATCTATTCAAGTGATATACAAATGTGTAAGAATATATCATAAATCCAGATACTATAAATAATCCAATATTATATATAATATTTGATTGGAATATTTTAGTTGTACTTGTGAAAAGTAAGTTGCACATCTAAAGAAAAGAAGATTACTATTGCTTACTTACTCAAATGTTGTACTCTTTCCTGCAGGTTTGGTTTTGATGTCCCCGTGATTCTTCGAAGCTCGGATACAGAGATAGCTCTTCCAACGCCTGAGAAACAAATGGTTCACGTGTCAAATCCCTTGACCCTAGAATTAGGGCTTAATCCGGCATCTGTCACTGGTAGGAAAATTTTGAATTTTTTTTTTGGAAACATTCTAATTGTCTAGCAATTCATACAAGACAACAGGTCACTGCTATATTAAGCCATTTAGAGACTATGGTAGATGTCTTTAATACAATGAAGTTTCGCAATATTGCGGTATTTTACGGTAATCCTTTTTTTTTTTTTAAATTTCCAATATTTTCATTATTTTCGTGATAAAAACATTTTACATTGTCACATGCTTTTGAATTTTTTGAAATACTTAAAATGTTTAGCGCTAATATTTTTGAATGTGTTATATGCAAAAGAAGCATAGTCACTTGTCCTATATGGAACCAACCTATCTGAATAAATGATGCCAGTCATATATAGCTTCCTGGCAATTACAAAAATAGAAATTACATTATACAATAATTCACTTTAATAAATCAATTAAGAAAATTGGTGCTCAGTTTTGCTTAATTGTTGTGATTTTTTTTCATCTCATTATTCAAATATAATGGTGCAATGTTTTATGTAAACATGAAAATGTAATTGTATATAAGAAATGCCCACATTTTTATACACCTAACCCAACAGCTTAGCTCATTGTTTATCGCCACAGTCATCTAGCATGCTAACAGTGTCTTAGCTGCGCATTAGCACCACATTAGTGGCAATGTAAAAGTGTATTAGCGTTTTCTTGTTGCCGTGAGATCTTAGTTCACATGAACCCCACATACATACCACAGCTTTAACAAATTTGTATACTTACAATCTTTTAATGTTCGGCAATTTTCGGATAACTGTCCTAAAATTGAACAGGGGGGCCAGAGAACTGTCCAAAAATTGAACAGGGGGGCCAGGTTAGGACCAGGTAGATGGAGCGTTCGTGTGAACTGAGATAAATGACATGTAAAAGTCATGCATAAGGGCTAAAATGCTTTTAGCAATTTCTTCGCCATCTATTGGGGAAACATGGGTATTGCAGGGAAAAGGCAGAAGTATAATAATAATATAAATAAATTATATAATTTGGAAAACCTTTTGCAGATGGTGCATCACTGAAGCCTTGGTGCCTGGAGCCGTGTATCCTGAGTTGTTTCTGGGGTTGTGATATTATTGCCCTCCAGGCGGCGCTGCAAAAGCACCAGCACGGGCTGAGGCTCAGCACCCCCGAACAGTTTCAAAGGGCGCTTCACCTTCGTTACCATCACTGCCAGACCTTCTTGTATCCTTTACGAACTGGATTTTGTTTGGGTCATGAGGATTTTGTCAATACAATAGACTGCAGTATATAAAAATATTCTCAAAATAATGTATTATTTTGGCCAAGATTTCCTGATATCATTTTCACTTCGTTGCGTAAACCGAGAACGTCACCGATACTTCTTTGGATTTGGAAATTCAGTTATGGAAATGTTATCCTCTGAACTTCTGAGGTTATTCCCCCTTAACTGCAGCGATTCAGCGTCCGCAGAGAAGACAGCAGAGAATATCACACACGGATTCCCTCCGATCAGGGAATAACAGATTTTGGGCCCATGCCAAGGTATTGCTACCCTCTTGTGGCTGTGCTGATGTTGGCAGAGGGAGAAGCCATGGACACGTACAACATTGTGAGTACATTTGCTGTCCCTCCTCTCTGGCTGAGAGCTCATGGACGGATCTTTGAAGGAAAATAATCTTAACTATGAAACATCATAATTTTCTAGGTCTGAATCAATTTTTATGAAATTGTTTTTATGAAACATTTAGGCTCTGTCCTTTGTCAATGACAAATAAAGCTTCTAAAAATGCGTTTTTTTCAGTATAGATAGAATGCATATTTTCGAGGACAATATGTTTGAAGACGCGTTTATGAAATAACTTTTGATAATAATTGTTTTAAGTCGTTTTTTAACAGCCTTAAAAAATATCAGGTGGCATAACTACAACAATTAAAAATCGAAAAAATTCAATTTGAAATAGATAGAGATTTATAGAGATTTAATTTAGGCACCAAAACAACACTAAAAACACACAAAATAGGTCAAATACAAACATGAGTAGCAGCACACAAGCACACTTGTCAATGAAAATGAGCAAACCTGAGCAGTTGAAGTTAGTAGATCAGTAGATTAGTAGGTTAGTAGATAGATAGTGTTAGTAGTATAATTAGTAGTATTGTTGCCATGTATGGTGTTGTTGATGGCAATCTCTATAATTTTATTATTATATTATAACTTCCATCCATCCATCCATCTTCAACCGCTTATCCGGGGCCGGGTCGCGGGGGCAACACTAAGTGTTCCACATTATCTCTGTGGTATGTATATGTGTATTTTAGCCGCACTAGTATAAATATAAGGATGTTATGTGAACAGGTATATTCATAGTTTAAATATATGAACAGTCTAAATAGTTGAGTAATTATCTTATCAGTTATTATTTATCACTGATTTTAAACATGTTTCTATGCCCTGTTTTAAATTTGTATTTTAGCCGCACTAGTATAAATATAAGGATGGTATGTGAACAGGTATATTCATAGTTTAAATATATGAACAGTCTAAATTGTTGAATAATTAAATAATAAATATAAATTAGATAAACAGTTAGCTATATAGGCAGTTCTAGCAGATATATTAGTGTATGGGCCGTATTATTACCAGATTTATACAACCAGTATTACTAAGAGCTACTATACATACATAATATAATATTATATAGGATAGATATTAGTAATATATTTATGCACAGTATGTAAGTTATAAATATATATAATAGTGTACAAACCAAGCCGGTTGGTGCCTACAGTTAATCCCAGATGTTCGCTGTAGCCTCCGTAGCACTACTTTAGATGATGAAGTATATTACTATGCAGAGACCAGAATACACATTATTACGAGTAGCTTGTAAGTTGTTAGTAAGTTAAACTATTGCTGTGTCCTATAAAGTAATTTGTAGATCCTTTGTAATCCTTTCTCTTTCTGTAAGGCATTAAACTGGGTAAATATTTTTACAGTATCTGGACCAATAAGAGCCAAGAAAACAACAGTTACTGTATTTTCTGGACTATAAGTCGCTCCGGAGTAAAAGTCGCACTAGCCAAAAAATGTACAATAAAGAAGAAAAGAAAAACGTATATAAACCACTCCGCAGTATAAGTCGCACCAGCCAGCTAGAGTGCCCTCTAGCGGACGTCAGTTTAAAAATAATGAACATGTACATTTTCTGCGCTACAGGAGTAGCAGATACTTGTCCCTTTCCCCACTGTCGGAGGAAGACAGGACCTCTAATCGTTCTTTGTTTATTGGTCGTTGCATATCAATTGATATTCTATAGAAATGCAATCTTTCTTTCTTTTTTTTTCAGGAGGCCCACGTGACGGTTATTCATGTTCCAGACGACAAATACAACCTGTCCGCGCGAGTTCTCTTTCAGTATCTCCTCACCTTACAGGGAAACATGTATGAGTTAAAGGTATGACCAATAATGCTACAATATTTTATAGATAATTAATAAATAAATAAATGAATAAATCTGTCATGAAACAAAATGGTTACGTACTGCCATCATGTCAAAGCTTTTGAATATATATGTGTGCGTATATATGTATATACAATATATACTGTATCTGTATATATGTATGTATATATTTATATATATATACATATATATTTGTGTATATATGTATATATATGTATATATGTAGGTATATATATACATACATACATACTGTATATACATACATATATATGTATATATATATACACATATATATGTATGTATATACTGTATATACATACATATATATCTATGTATATGTATATACACATATATACATATATACACAAATATATATATGTATACAGTAAACCCTTGTTTTTCGCGGGGGTTACGTTCCAAAAAGAACCCGTGATAGGCAAAATCCGTGAAGTAGAAATCTTTATTTTTTTACAATTAAATACTCAGAAAAAGAAGAGAAAGAACGAACAAACCATTTTACAGTCTCAACCATTTGTTTCACAAATAAAGTAAAATAAAAGTACTTTAGAAACGTTTCAACAAATAACTTCTGTAATGTACTGTCAAATAATAATTTTAATCATCAACGTGAACAGAAGGCTTCAAATTGCGGAGATTAGCACCGCCCACCGAGAACGGGAGAAAATTAAAAATGATTATGAAAAAAATACAAATTACCTGTACAGTCGGACAAATAGTGACTCAGCTTTATTTCACTGCTCTTCAGACTGAGCCGGATAAACTCGAAATTGCAAGAGAATTTGCACGTACGTAATGTCAATTTGGCAAGCTGTTTTACGTACGTGTACATATTAAACCGCAACGTTATTGGCGCACAGGTAGAGAAGAAGCGGAGTGACTTTTTAGCCAATCAGAATGCAGAACACAATGCACGATGCAAATCCGTGAAGTAGCGAAACCGTGAAAAGTAAACCGCGTTATAGCAAGGGATCACTGTATATATATAAATATATACATATATACATATACACACACATATATCAAACATGTAAATTATGGTAGTACAGGAGTAGCAGATACTGGTACGAAAGCCTAGAGTGCCCTCTAGGGGCTGCCAGTGTAAAATTAACAAACATCTTAAATTATATGTTTTAATATCGCAAACCCAGCCAAAGGAAGAAAAAAAGTTCAGAAAATACGGTGTAAATATATATATATATATATTTATATATATATATATATATATAAATAATAAAGAATTTTAACAAATGTATGTCTGTACATAAAATATTTCCTTCCTGTGCCCTGCAGCCTCTGTTCATGTCAGCTGACAGCTGGATGTTATCAGGGGCTCCTGACCCAGATACAAGTAACACGCAGAGCAAACCTAAGGAGGAGGAGGACCCCTGCGCAGAACAGAGACCTGTCGACGAGGAAGAGGCGAAGGACGAGGAGGAGTGGGAGGAAGAGGAGGAGAAGGAAGAGGAAGGAGGAGGCTTGTCAGAGGGGAGTGAAAGGGACTGTGTGGTGTGCCAGAACGCGGCCGTAAACAGAGTTCTGTTGCCGTGCAGACACACCTGTGTGTGTGACGGCTGCGTGTCACACTTTCAGCACTGCCCTATTTGCAGAGCCTTCGTCTTCGAGTCATTTGCCCTAACTCCGGGGGCAGCTTGCGGATGAGGATAATTAGCAGCGATGCTATGTAGGTGTACATTTTGTTTTGTTTTGTTTTGAAGTTTTACTATTTAAAATGAGTGTCAACAAAAATAGTTCAAAAGTAATGCGCTCAGCCCTGTTATATGATTTAAATATCAAATACAGTAATACCTTGAGATATGAGCATAATCCGTTCCAGGACAGAGCTCGTAACTCGAGGTGCTAGTATCGCAAATCATTTTTCCCATAGGAAATAACTTAAAAAAATTAATCAGTTCCGGCCCTCTAAAAAACTCCCTTATTAGTTCTAATATCAATTGAAAAACATGTTTTTATTTGCTTTAGATACAAACACAAATTATTATTTTTTTGCGATTTGTCTTCTTTCTTTAGCGGGCACCACGCTCATATTTGTCGACAATTTCCTGCTTTATTTCCATGGTCATCGTGCGTTTCTTCTTCTCACCACCATCCTTACCACTCACTTTCTTAGGACTCATCACTATTATGAAGAATAATGCACAAAATAGAGAGAAAATCACGTAGATAACGCAAACGCAATAACTCAGAAGACTCACGGGAGATGCGTACGGAAGTCGCCAAACACGTGAAGTGAACGAGTGAGGCGGCGTGGGCTGCTCCGAGTGCTCGGCCACCTAGCGTCGGCGTCTGTAAGCGCGCTCGTATCTTAAATCTTTACTAGTATCGCGAAGCAAAAATTTGCTCAAAGGCTTGTCGGAATACTCGGGACGCTCATATCTCGAGGTATTACTGTATATGATTCAAGTGTTATGTCAGTCAAAGCTTTTCACCAAGAAAAGCAATAGTTTAAAGTTGATTATTCATTATCAATAGGGACGTGCGATAATATCGGCCAACCGACATTAGCATAGTTATGTAACATCTGTAAGAACCGTTATCGGTTTTTTCCTCTGATGATGAAAATCTGATAACGCAGTGCTTGGGTTTCACCAAATGATCTGTGCCCTGAAAATGGTTGATTCGATGTGTTTGTTTAGTAATACGTTCTTTGCGCTATACTGAGTGCGGAAAATGAATGAAATGAAACAAGGAGAAACGTAGTCCAGTGTGGCAATACCCTTGTTACGAAAATAGCATCAGACAAATAGGAACTTGGGAAAGGTAAACCCGCATGGTTCCATGTTTCTTTTTGCTAACAAACAAAAGTCAAATTTTCACGGCCACATTTCAACAACGCATCGATTTAGAATTCAATTATAGAATACTTTACAGAAAAGTGTAAAACAATTGTGAGCCAATGAGGATAATTCAATGGGTCACATGACTTTTGGAACGCCATATTATATTATTATATTATAATATACACATGTAATCACCACAGCTGCATGAAAGATTGGTATTGCCTACAACACGGGCAACATTACACATAGCACATAGATTTATATATAAAAAAAACATCTTCTAAAAATCCTCAAGAAACTGAGTGAAACCACATCGCTGCTCTCTGTCGGAAACTGGCCGTTTCGCTGTCAAATAGTGACTGCTTTCCCAGCTAAACTGAATGTGATGTTTGCATTTGCACTTTACTTTTCTGCCCAGAACTATTTGACTGTATTTATTCCAGACCATCTGACTAATGTCTTTCAGAATATTTTATTTTTCTTACTCCCACAAATGTACCCTGAGTTTCGAGAAATAAAAGTGTGTGTATTTTTGTTATAGATATAGATATTTTTCAGGAAAACTAATTTCTTAAGTTAAAGTTGAACTCGTTGATGTCGATGTATTCGTTTTCTTACTAATTGTGGGATTTTCTTTGAACTAATAATGTACCGTATTTTTCCGAAAAATATAAATCGCACTTTTTTCATCCTTTGGCTGGGTTTATGACGCTGGATTTCCAACTATTTCGTTGCGACTTGTATATTAAAAGATATAATTTCACGTTTGTTATTTCCACACTGACAGCCCCTAGAGGGCACTCTTGGCTTGTGTACCAGTATCTGCTACTCCTGTACCACTGAAAATTTCATGTTCACTATTTTTTTTTTTTAGTGAAGATAAGCATGATTGTTGAGGTATAGAACAAGCATGTTAACTATGTGTATCCGAAAAGATAAGCTAGCATGTACCATGTGCGCTACTCAACTTGAAACCCTTATATGTTTATTCCTTACTTTTCGGCTGTTACAACTAGGGATGTCCAGTAGTATTGGCTGACAGATATTATAGGCCAGATATTAGCATAATTATGTAATATCTGTAAGAATCATTATCGTTTTTTTTCCTTCAATAATGAAAACTCGATAACGCAATGCCTGGATTTTGCTTTCGCTTGTAAAGCCCTAAGACGTTTACCTCGGTTTTGGGGGCAAACGGTTGATAATCAGCATCGGAAATGAAGTGTTTGGACAATATTGGCATATCGGATATTGGCAAAGAGTTGTAACTAGGAATGTCCGATATTAACTGAGTGATTTTGTTTCAGTCAGATGTGCAAAACAAAAGTTGTCCGTCTCAATTTTTCAACATTTGACCGTCTGGCGCCATGACTGGCTGCAACACATGGATAAGGAGGATGGTTTTTTGCGGTGAGTAAAATGCGTTTTGTATTTTTAATAACATTGTAATTATAGTACGTTATTATGTCTACATGAGTCATCTAGGAAATAATGACTCGTACGATACTTCTGGATAGAATTGATGGTTTCTAGAAATATAATGATGTCATTAGGATGTATATTTGTTCAGGCGTAAAGCGACTAAAGGCCTAGGTGAGAAATGCACGCTACGCCGTCGTGTATTCTAACGTATAGCTCAACATCTGGCTGCGGTTAGCATCAAAGCAACATGGGTAGACGACCACTGTACAAAGAGTCCCGGTTCATTGGGCGAGTGAGGTCCAGATTGGTGAGTCTACTGTGTTCGTAGAAGTCGCTAGACCAAGGGTGTCAAACATATGCAGGCAAAAAAAAAAAAAAAAAAAACGGCCCGTTAGGGGGATTAATCTCTTGATGAATTTTGAAAGTGGAAAAAAAAAATGCACAAAAACTTCATGTTCGTGATATTTTGTCAAATTATATTTTATTAAATATGAATACTTTCTAATATACTTGTACTTATTTGCAGGAAAACAAAGGGGGGGAAACATGGACTTATTCTAATTTATAGGGATTTTCGTTATGATTGTACTGGTCCGGCCCACTTGGCATCAAATCAGGCTGTATGTGGCCCCTGAACCAAAATGAGTTTGACACCCCCCGTGTTTGACGCTTGGCTCATTGAGAGTAACCCTTACCTTGGGCCCCAGAGATGGCTAGTTTGTAGGCTAGCATTAGTAGCTTTTTTGGGGGGGCACGTGATATTTGGTATTAGTGCAGGTCTTTGCACTCGAGTTCTGCCTGGTCAAGACTACCGGATGTGGCCCGTTCAGCTTTGTAATCCAGCCCGCCAAACTTGTCCAAATTATATAATTGATTTGTGTTGTGATAATACTTCTGCCTTTTCCCTGCAGTACCCAAATTCTCCATATAGATGGCGAAGAGAACGCTAAAAAACCTTTTAGCGTTTTAGCATTTATGCATGACAAAGAGAACGCTAAAATTTTTTTAGCGTTTTAGCATTTATGCATGACTTATGTCATTTATCTTAGTTCACTTGAATGCTCCATCTATCAGCTCCTGACCCGCCCCACCCGTTCAAATTTAGAACCAATTGTAGCCCGTAAGTCAAAAGGTTTGCCCCACTTGTTCTAATCATTTGCTTAACTACTTAAATATGATTTGTTTTGCTCGCTCACGAACCATGGGAACAACCAGAAGCCTAGATCGCCCTTTCGCAGCACTCCACCAGTCTACCTGTGTACCAGTAGCATAGGTTGGTACACAAGCCTAGAGTGCCCTCTAGCGGCTGTCAGTGTGAAAATAACAAACGTGAGATTATGAACAAGCAGAAGGAACGGATAATTGACCGACTTCTTTTCTTCTGTACGAATTTCTTTAACCTCGCCTCACGTTTCTAACCTTTCGCTCCAGTAATTTTTTCCTGATTTTCAAACTTGCTTCAAACTTTCAAAAACGTAAACGAAAATGATCTCATAAAATAAAATACATTTTACATCAAAGGTGATTAGAGCATTCCTCTGATGTAAAACACAAATCTATCTGCGCAACAACCATATTATCTAAACTGCTATATATAAAGTTTAAAAAAAAATTAGTAAAAAAAAAAAAAAAAAAAAAAAAAAGACATTTTATACAAAATGACATGACTTCAAAATCAAACAGACTGAAGGCAGTTTGGACATAAAATTTCTCTGGCGCAGTAGCTTTTAATACAGAAAATCCACGATAGTAAAATGGATAACATCAGGTGGACAAAAAGGTTTCCTTCTTTTTTTTTTTTTACATGCAAAGGTTTTACACGGGCTTATAGTCCAACTTGGACTCCAGCTTTTTCGAGTCTGCCACTTTCCTCACAGCTTTCATAAAGTCTTCCTGAGTCACGTACTCCCGGTCAGCGCGGATAGCGAATAGCCCTGCAAGACCACAACAGAGAGTTGATCACGTGACAGCTGGCGAGGAGTTCAAACTGAGTAGAAAGAGAGTGAGAAAAAACCGTCGGCCTCACCTGCTTCTGTGCAAACGTTCCGCAGATCGGCTCCATTGAATCCGTCCGACAGTTTGACGAGGGCTTCGAAATCTACAAAACAGGCACCGCAAAGTTAAGGATGCGACTACGGTTATACGGTCATTTGTCGTAAAAGTCCGTGTCCCCCTGACCTATTTCCCCGTGCTTGGTGATGGGGCTGGAGTGAATCTTTAGGATGTCCAAACGTGCCTGTTCGTTGGGCAGTTCAATGTCTAGAAAAGACACAAAACGTTTGTTTGTTTTTGTTTGTTTCACTAAGTAAACGCTGACTGACATATAGTCAAATGGCAACAACTGGCAACCAGGTCTTACGGATTTTACGATCTAGTCTGCCAGGTCGCAGCAGCGCTGGATCCAAGGTATCGGGTCGGTTGGTGGCCATTATCATCTTCACTCTGTGCAGTGTGTCGAAACCGTCCATCTGGTTAAGGAGCTGGTGTGAGTCAAACAAAGCAGTAGATTAATTGTTATTATTACTTGTTATTAGGGATGGCTTGATCTGATACTCTGAGTAAAGTAAGGGATTACAATTGCAATTACTGTTACTTTCCTTCAGATAGGCTGCATTTGCGGGAGTGCTTAATGACAACGGCGTTGCGATGCGACGTCAGTGGTAACAGACGCAGGTTTAGCTTAACAAGGGAGAAGAACATGGAGGTCGGGTGACGGCAATACCACGGAGCATTTAACGCATGGAAATATTGATGTTATCGAACAATGACAAGACAGCGCAGCTGAACTGAAGAAGGTCGTCGCTGGCTATATTGTTGTGGACATGTCGTCTTTTTCCATCGGAGACTCCCGTGCATTGATGTTGATTTGTTATATGTTCAATAATTTATTTATTTTGTACCGCAGCACATTTAATGCTAATGTGTAGCGGCCATATTAATCGGCGACGTAATTGTGAGGAAACGTCGAGGAAAATTTGTTAAAAAAAACAAAAAAAAAACACGGTTACTCCTTTACTTCTGTAAATAAATAATACAATTAGGCTGAAAGGTCAATTGCTTTATAGAGTACTTAAGTTGTGAATATTTTTGAAATGTAACTAAGTAAAGTAATTATCAAAGTAACTAGTAACTAATTACTTTTGGAAATAAGTCATCAGTAAAGTAAGTGGATTACTTTCTCAGAGAAGTAATCAATAACTAATTACCATTTCCAAGTAACTTGATCAACACTGCTCAGGATCAATATTGGTTTTATATGGGTCAAAAAGTCAGGATCAAACAAACAACAAGAGCGGGACCTTGAAATACGAACATCCAGACATACGAGTATTCCGAGATGCGAGCAAGCCTTCGGGCAAATTTTTGATTTGAGATACGAGCACGCTTACAGACGATGACGCTAGGTGGCCGAGCACTCGTAGCAGCCCACGCCACCTCACTCGTTCACTTCACATGTTCGTCGACATCCGTACGCATCTCCCGCGGGTCTTCCGTATTGCGTTTGCGTTACTTACGAGATTTTCTTTTCAATTTTGTGCATTAGTCTTCATAATAGTGACGAGTCCTAAGAGAGTGAGCGGTAAGGATGGTAGTGAGAAGAAGAAACGCACAATGACCATGGATATAAAGCATGAAATTGACGATAAATATGAGCGCGGTGCCCGCTAAAGAAAGAAGACAAATCGTCTTACCTCCATCAGAGTCCTTTGGATCTCTCTGTCTGCTGATGTTCCCTGGAGAAACGACGACCACCTAAAAATGACGGGAAAATGACGAAACAACTTCGGGGAAGATAAGAAAAAAAAAGGAAAATTGAGGATCACGTACCAATTGCATCTATTTCATCCATGAAGATGATGCACGGCTGGTGGTCACGTGCGTAGTTGAACATTTCTCTGATCAGTCTTGCGCTTTCGCCGATATACTTGTCCACAATGGAACTGGACACCACCTGCAGTGCAACACAATCGCAAACGGTCGAGTGAGCGCTCCGAGGAGCTGCGGAGATCAATGGTTGACCGAGGTGCGGGAACCCACCTTGAGAAAGTTGCAGTCCAGCTGACTGGCCACTGCTCTGGCAAGAAGGGTCTTCCCAGTTCCTATCAATGACATTGAGCAAAACGGACACAGTGCTGCTTTAATGGAACCAGGACCAGCTCTTACTGTGGAGGTACATTAGTATACAGCAGTGTTTCCCAACTGTTTTTGTGCCGCATATTTGTATATGTAATGAAATATAATAACCTTCTATTTTAAACATACTCACAATTCACTAAAATCTCAGCCTATTAAGTTGAAGACAACGCTGATACACTCGCAGGAATTAAAGAAAGATACTCACAAAGATCTTCAACAGTTCTGATTGGGTTTTTATTTACTTTTCATGGCCATTTGCTGCCACCTAGTGAAAGGGGATTTTAATTATTCTGCATGTCACGCATTGACAGACAAAGAACAATTTTTTCGCAAGGTATAAATATAATTTTTTTTTCAGGCCAATTAAGTGAATTTGGGTAATTTTTCCGCGGCACACCTAATGATATCTCACGGCACAGTGGTTGGGAATCACTGGTATACAGAGCACCAGACTAACATTTTGCTTGGTACCAACTGGAGGTGATCCACACCCTATTCTAAGGATGATGTACATATCCTCGCCAGAGAAGACAGATGGTTTGAGAGAGGGGTGAAAGAAGCCATCTACGTTAATCTGGAGAAACCATCTCTCTAGAGGAGGTGGTTTGAGACACAATCTTTCATATACCTATAATGTTGTCCTGAGTTCTCTCCCCCCAAATATTCAACCCCCTCCCTGACAACAAGACCAGTGTCAAAAGTGTCGCTCAGGTGAAACTACCTCTAACCTTTGTGAATTACTTTACAGTACTCCCCCTTTCTGCAACGATATTTAAATTTTATATAATGGAATATGCAGAAATAATACAATTTATATTTCTTCATTTGCGGTTTTTATTTTGTACTGCAGCACATTTAATGCTAATGTCGGCGACGTAATTGTGAGGACACGCCGAGGAACATTTGTTAAAAAAACACCCACGGTTACCCCTTTACTTCTGTAAATAAATACTACAATTAGGCTGAAAGGTCAATTGCTTTACAGAGTACTTAAGTTGTGAATATTTTTGAAATGTAACTAAGTAAAGTAATTATCAAAGTAACTAGTAACTAATTACTTTTGGAAATAAGTCATCAGTAAAGTAAGTGCATTACTTTCTCAGAGAAGTAATCAATAACTAATTACTATTTCCAAGTAACTTGATCAACACTGCTCAGGATCAATATTGGTTTTATATGGGTCAAAAAGTCAGGATCAAACAAACAACTACAGCGGGACCTCGAAATACGAGCATCCGGACATACGAGTATTCCGAGATACGAGCAAGCCTTCGAACAAATTTTTGATTTGAGATACGAGCACGCTTACAGACGACGATGCTAGGTGGCCGAGCACAGCCACAGCCACTCGTTCACTTAACGTGTCCGTCAACATCCATACGCATCTCCCGCAAGTCTTCCGTATTGTGTTATCTCTGATTTTCTCTCTATTTTGTGCATTATTCTTCATAATAGTGACGAATCCTAAGAGAGAAGACGGATGGTTTGAGAGAGGGGTGAAGGAAGCCACCTACGTTAATCTGGAGAAACCATCTCTCTAGAGGAGGTGGTTTGAGACACAATCTTTCATATACCTATAATGTTGTCCTGAGTTCTCTCCCCCCAAAAATTCAACCCCCTCCCTGACAACAAGACCAGTGTCAAAAGTGTCGCTCAGGTGAAACTACCTCTAACCTTTGTGAATTACTTTACAGTACTCCCCCCTTTCTGCAACGACCCTCGTTATGGGTATGCAGCCCCTTTGAGGCTAAATACCCAAATTTCCCAGTAGTCCCAGGCAGAACTGAAGAAGCCTCTTGGATGAGAGGCGAAACGTATTTAAAAAAAAAAAAACCTACTCTGTCGAGTTGCCATAGATGTAACTATTTTTGGAATAGAGAGTTGATGCGCTAGCAAAATAAATGTATGTTTTCACCCGCGCAGAGTCAGGTGTACCAGTGTGACCCAGATGAATTAGTAGTGGAACTTTGGAGCCCAAATATATGTAAAAAGCTAAGGTATACATATGGACCTGGTCTGATACGTATATGTACAGTGAGAACCACTGACCTGGTGGTCCGTAGAGTAGACAGCCTTTTGGAGGGATGATCCCAACTCTCTGGAACAGCTCAGGGTTGGTCAAAGGAAGCTCTATCACCTGTAACAGAAATGAGTTGCACTCTTGAATATTGTTAGCTTAGTACCTCTCAATTTTGTTCCGTTTCAGACTAAATTAATTTTGGCATTACTTTAATAACAACGCTAATAACCCAATTCATAAAGTGTAACAATAACATCAGAAGGTCAGGTTAGGTTTAGCTAACACGGCTAGTATCCTGCTGTATGCTTGTATTAACCTACATTGCTTGCAAGTCACTATGGCTGTGATCTCTCAGCGGACTGGTCAATTATATTGGTCGACAGGTGACTCCACCAAAATTCTGATTGGTCCTTTTTTTTTTATGGGTTAATTTCATCAGAAGTAAAGTACCAGGTCCTAATCAGCGTGTTTTCAGAGCACCTCTGTTTCACAGATAACAGTCTCGTCTTCTTTCTTGTTTTCACTATTTTGGGATTAGCCCAATCCACAGACAGACAGATTGAAGAATGCATGAGAACAGGCGTGGGCAAACTTTTTGACTTGCGGGCCACGATTGTCCTAAAATTGAACAGGGTGGGGGGGGGAGCAGGTCAGGAGCAGATAGATGGAGCGTTCGTGTGAACTAAGATAAATGACATGTAAAAGGCTAAAATGCTTTTATCATTTTCTACGCCATCTATTGGGGAAACATGGGTATTGCAGGTAAACAGCAGAGGTATAATGATAATATAAATAAAACATTTGGATTAGTTTGGCAGGCTGGATTAAAAACTGAACAGGCCACATCCGGCTCCTGGGTCTTAGTTTGCCCATGCCTGCGCTAGAAGGTCTGGGTCCAGTGATTTGCTGAGTAATGATTTATTTTCGAGCGTTCCATTTACAGTGCTCAGCAGGTGCACCGTACCGCAACAATGGAAACATCCCTCAGCATTTTCATAAGGGTTAATAATTCATCAGAAAGAATTCCTGGTCATAACAGAAAGGAAAAGCAAGAAAATACAGAGACGATAGGAACCCTGATGCCCTTCACAGGATCAAATAGGTACTGCGACCCTTAAAATGAGAAATTATTTATGTGGTATTGGTATGGTATGGATATGCATAAAACAGCTTAAAGATGCGAAGATGCTTAAATCAGCATCTCTACATACACACATATGTATGTATGTGTCTATACATATACAGTATATATATACATATATACTGTATATATATATATATATATATACACATACATATATACACATATACATACATATATATATATATATATATATATACACATACATATACATACATATATACGTACATACATATACATACTATATATGTATATATATATATATATTACATACTCAAACTCGATCTAACTATCTGACATTTTATGACATAAATGTGTGAATTTTTAAACCAGACCAGAGTAGAATACGTTTCTCAAGTATTAAAAAAGGTATTAAAGTTGTTTTTAAGTATTAACATTGTTATACTATCCATACATAAAATACTTTTTACCATTAATGCGACTTCTGGCGCTGCATGGTTTTGATGCGATTGTTTTCAGTTTATGCCAGAAATAAAAGATGACGTACCAAGCTGATGATTTTACCGCAATTATTTAACACAACGCAAAGAAAGTACGCTGCCGCAGCAAATACACAAGTTGTTTTTTTTTTAAAGATTATTTTAACACTTTGATTTCTGTAATGTTTTCCTTGAATATTAAACTCAAATCAAAATTATTCATTACTTATTGTGTTAAGAAGTACCAGCTAAGATTTATCATATAGCCAGATACAGTTATCAGAAGAGCCACATCGGGCTCACGAGCCATAGGTTCCCGACCAATGATTTTTAAGGAGTAATGGTAGTTTTTTTTATACATTCGAGTGAACTGAAACGGTTGGAGGAACCATAGTAAGGCTTGTTTTAGTGTGCATCAAGTAAACAATACCTCTCTTAGCTCACGAATCTGCTCAGAAAGACCTCCGATCTCTGAGTAGGAGACACTTCCAGGATCCTCGTGGGACATATTGTACACAAGAGGGTCCACTTCTCGCGGCAGGTATCTTTTTTTTTAAAAAAAGAAAAGAAAACAGTATATATACATTAATGTCAAAATATTTCCTTCAGGCCTACAGTTAAAGATTCATGTCAGATCCATGAGATCATTCAGAAAAGAACACGACCCATGAGATCAGGGAAAATCAGAGGGAAAAAAAAAAAACATCATTCAGAAAAGAACATGACCCATGAGATCAGGGAAAATCAGAAAAAAAAAACAGAGAAAAATGAGGAACAACCTGTATTTTATCTCTGCCCCACAACATCAACTAGTTTTAATATTTGTGTCAAAACTGAGGAGAGCACAGCACAGAATCTGGATATAGGACTCTGGCAACCTGGAAGTGGCGTTTTCTTTCAAGATAACATCGAGAATCTGGAGAAGTACTGCATCGTAATTTCCGGACAATTGAGCACACCTGAATATAAGCGGCACACTACATTTAAAAATAAATAAATAATTGTACATAGGCTGCACTTCTCTATAAGCCGCAAGTGTCGACGTTGTAACATGGGATATCAGCTACACCGAGTACAACCGAACATAAACAGAGTTTTAACAGCTCCTGTATAACCAACACACACTACAACATAACAGGGCTCAAACTGCTCCCAACCTTTGCTACCGTTCTCTCTCTCTCTCGGACGCCCCACGCACATATATGCACATAGCCATTCACAGACAGACATACGCTACTGGTATAACACACAGTAGCCTTCCAGAAAAGTCACTGATAGCTAGTGGTTAGCTAGCCTAAATTAGCCGCATCATTGTTTAAGCCGCAGGGTTCAAAGCGTGTGAAAACATTTGCGGCTTATAGTCTGGAAATTACGATACTTAAGACACTTTCACAAAAAAAAAAAAAAAAAGGTTTTATATACATTTCCACAGGAACGGTTCATACCTCATTATAGTGAGCGTGGTCATATCTAGGGCAACTCTGGTGCCGGGCTTCAGTTGTGACTTGTCCAACTGTAAAGGTTTTAGCAATTAGAATTAACTGTGCAAAACATGGAGAGATTGGATGTCTGACCAAAATTTTTTTTACGGTTGGTCTTCTGTGTCAGAAAGACCTATTTTAAAAATGACTGATTCAGCACTTACTTGTCTACGGCATCCAACAACATATCGTGGTCCATTGGTGGCCTTGACAATGACTAAAAAAAAAAATTAAATAAAAATAAAACATTTTCGTTTTTTCATTACAATCATATAGCAATACTCTAATCGATGTATCACTAAAGAAGGAGAGGCAGAGGGAAGATATTCGACAACATGGAGGACCTTGTTGGGGTTCTATAACACACATGTTTAGACACAGAACTTACACTTTTCTTCTGTCAGCTGTTTGAGCACTTCACCAACAATCTGAAAAAAAAAAAAAAAACAACAACAAGGCCCTCAGGTTTACAATTTCGAAGAATAAATGTTATAAAGAATAAATAAATAAATGGTACAGAAAAGCTACGGTTCATTATGTACCTCGGTATTAGGCCTGGGAAATATCTGGATATTTTAAAATGTATCAATATAGTCTTAGAAGAGATATTACATGGCACAATATCACTATGAGCCGCAAGTTCGCACCTATTCTCCCCACGCCCTTTGACCTCATGTATTTGCATGTTGGCTACTTTGTCCGTGTACTCAAATCAAAGCTTTACCTTAATAATAGAGGTATTAATATTCTGCTGCCACTTGTATTTTCCAAAGCGTAATATTGCACAAACGTTTTGATACACTCAACTTATGATACAAATCATGTTTTCTTGTTCACAATATATTATGGTTTTTTTTTTAAACAACAAAAATACAATAATCCCTTTTAGTAAGAAAAATGCAAAATACCATAAGATAGATACAATTAGGGAAAACCTCAAAGGTTATTAGTGGATGTTAGTAAATAGCATTAGTACGTAAATGTATTTTACTAGATTCGTAGGTTAGTAGTAGTAAATTAGTATTATTAATATTTGCAGTTGTAGCGAATTTATATTATAGCGATATTTATTCAAAAAAAGTTGTTTTTTTAATAAATAATAATAAAAACACAGAGACAGGTGATCATAGATTAATTATGCTTTACAAAAAGCCAAACGGTCATTTCTGACCCAATAGATTGTTTGACCCTATAATCCAGAAAGAGAGCAACATTTTGTGGTAATGTGTTGGAATTAAGTGAGACTAAAAGCATTTATTTACAGTTAACACTTGATTAAAGATTAGAACAGGAAAAGGAGAAAGACATTACGACTGTTAATCTTGTCTCTAACCCAAGAAAGAAAAACAAAACGTATGGACTGACTGAATCGTTCACGCAGACAAATTTAAAAGTAGGGATGTCCCATAATGTCAGCCGATCGATATTACCGGCCCGATATTAGCATAATTACGTAACATCTGTAAGAATCGGTTTTCCTCTGATAATAAAAACCAGATGACACAATGCCTAGGTAACGCCAAATTATGTGCCCTGAAAATAGTTTTGGGGGAAAAATGGCTGTATGTGAAAGCGAAAGCCACGAGATGACAGCATTGCAGCTCATTTAATTAATCTATTATAATAATTAGAGGATTGTATGCAGAATGCTAGTCCCAGTGAATTATAAAGTGGTTTGTTCATATAAAGAGATAAATATTACTAGGCACTCAATATTTCAACTTTTCCCTAAGGGGGGCATGGCAGGAAAAAAAAAAAAAGAGAAACACCGCTTTATCGGTATCGGTTGATATCGGAATTGGAAATTAAGTGTTAGGACAATATCGACAAAATGTCAATATTGGACATCCCTACTTTAAAGCGTAATGAATTCATTTTTATGCATGATTATATATACTGTCAATATATTATGCTTTACCAATGTTAACGTGCTTTTGCGCAATTTACCATGGCAGTTGAAGAAATGAGCAACACATGAACATGACAACTGTAGTATTAACATTAAACAAAAGTACTTTGCGAACTATTCGACTGTTCACCAATTTTGCCGCTCAATGACAAATTCCCATCAACGATTACTGCAGCTACCTATACCTGAAAAGCTAGCTTCTTGGGTTTTGAACGCTTGAGCATCTACACAGGGATAGCTTGCGTTGCTATAGTTTCCCCCCATACACTTATGGAAACATTCGGGTTCAGTTTGCAAGTATTGATGAAACAGATTTTTTTACCTGTCCGACACTTTGAAGAGCCTTCAAGTCGTTCTCTGACTTCTCATACTGTTTAGTTTGTTCTCTCAGTTGCTCTCTTACTGTAATACAAAACCACAAACAGTACGGTACACATTAGCGGTACGTAGTTAGCATAGCCGAAAGCTAAACAGAGAAACGCCATGATTACCAAAAGAAATGTAACCTATAACTGGTGATAAGTTGCCTAAGATAAGCAAATAGCCATGTTTTGACAACGGAAAGATTAAGCAAATTAATGTTCGCTAGTGAAGTCGTCAGCGACAGTAGTTATTTCTACAGTTAGCTTCTTTGTGGAAATGAATAAGGCTAACTGCATGACAAAGCAGTACCTGTCAGCTAGCGCCGCTATGCCGCTAACAATTATACAATTACCAAAACCAAAACATTCATTTACCTCTACTATAAAACGAACAAACGTAGCAGTTAACATGGTACTTACGTTCTTTTAACCGCCCATCAACTTCTTTGTGTTCGAGTAATTTTTTCCTGTAGTCCTGCAACGCTTTCTCTCTACCGTCCGCCATGATGCCTCACTGACTTATGGGAGTTTTTTTTTTCCCGTGCTTGTTATTCTGAATTTCCGGTGTTTGGCTCAGTCACGCTTAGGCTAGTCGTCACTTCCAGCGAGTCTGCGGTCCAGGTATTTATAATTTCTATTAATTTAAAATAAAACCACTTAATGTTCACATACGGTCATGGCTGTCCTTAATGCAGGTGACATTATAATATGACTTATGTAGTTGTAACGTTACGTAACACTTTCGTTCGCTGTTGTAAAACAAAACGGTCGGAAGCAATTTGAACGTAATTAGAAAAATTACGTTTTTCATTTACGTGTGAATTCTTTCAAATTAATCCTCTGTGATTTGGAATATGCGGTTTTGCTGTCTTTTGTTACTATTTCTTTAGGGGGAACATTGAGATAATGCCTTGATATTTGTCGAGAGTTAAAAGACTATTGAGATATAGTTTTTCGACTGTATCTTCATATGTTTTATAACAGCCTACATTATTTAAAATGGCGTATTTAATTTTTAAATTTAACACATGGTTATTTGATTTTTTTGGGACAGTTTCAAAATTCAAACATTATTTTCCATACATGAGTTTCAATTTGTATCCTATTTGATACATCGGGTCTCACACTGCTCAAAGATGATTTTTTCCTGAACAAACGAAAACACAATAAAACACAAACCAATCTAACAAAGTATTTGTAATTTCAAATATAAAAAGTGCTACCACAGTGCAGTAATGAGAAATCCACTAATGGAACTGGCTGGGTGGAACTCTGGAAAACAATATATATATATTTATATTATATATTTCATATTTACATATATAGTCTATATATATGTGTGGCCATATATAAGGGACAAAGCTGAAAGAAAAAGAAGATATTATATATATATACGTATATAAATATATATATATAATATAAATATATATGTATTACAAATATAAATATATATAATATATACATGTAATTCTAAATCAGTCAATTGTCATTTTATTGTATTTCATGCATTATATATAACATCAAGCATATATAACTATATATTTCATTTTTAAATTACATAATTTGTTACATTTAGAGTAGAAAACTAGATATGTACTTGCTGTATCATATTATATATTAATACATTATATATATATAATATATATATATATATATATATATACAGTATTTACATATATATATATATTATATCTTCTTTTTCTTTCAGCTTTGTCCCTTTTTTTCAGGGGTTGCCATACATATATATATACTATATATGTAAAATTCCCAAATTATGTAATTTAAAAATAGAAAATGTTATATATAATCCATGAAATACAACAAAATGACAGTTGACTGATTTAGAGTTACATGACTTTATATAACTGCTTTATCAAATTTGATACGTCATTTTCAACACGCTTTTACTAAAACATAGATTATGAAATTTTACGTATTTTCACATTGCATCAACCCAGTAACTATTTCTATTGAATGAGTGAGTTACTGTCCCCTGTCGAATTATCTGTGCATTGCATGTATCTGGTTGTATACAAAAAAATCTCATGTATCAAATGTGATACGTTTGACGTTATAGGGTTAAAATTAAACAATGCATCAATAGGGCCAAGTCAAGTCAAGTTTATTTGAAGAGCGAAAAAATTCACAAAACACATTTGCCTCATTGGACACAGTTTTAAATAAGAATTGAAATTAAAACATTTCAACAGGGGGGGAAATTGAGGTGTATGCAGTCAACGTTTAAATGACTAACAATACACATTAAAGCAGGATAAAGTTACACACTGAGCAGGCCTTTTAGCAACAGGAAAAAATCCCCAGCAGATCAGGACTCGGTGTTGCTATCTGCCTCGGCAAAGAGAAAAAGCAAAATGTTGGGGAGATACACAGGGGGAAGAAAAGAGGTGAAGAAAAAACAAAAGCAGTAGGAGTAGGTATAATACTTGATAATGATGAGTATCAAGTCTGGATCAGGTTCTGTAGTTCTGAGGGCACGGGAACATGTGAGATAAAGACAGTGACAGAGGGAGAGAAACGGGAGACAGACTAGTGGAGAAAGAGGAGACCAGGTCATTGTTGTAACATTATATATGAATTGTATATGTAGAAGAATGGAGGAGAGATAATGTTCTGGGCATCGTAGAAGTTCGCCCAGCAGTAGCACAGTTTTACCCGAGCAAGCCCTATAAATATGGTGCATCAAAAAGGAAGGTTTTAAGCCTAATTTTAAATGTGCAGACGTTGTCCGCCTCCCAAACCCACACTGACAGCTGGTTCAAAAGGTTGGGAGCCTGGTAGCTGAAAGCTCTGCCTCCCATTGTACTCATACAATACATTTTGGGAACTGTAGGTAGGCCTGCATTTTGTCATGTAGTGATCTTTAAGGTTGCTAGGGTCTTATTAGATCTATAATATTAGTATGATGCTGTCTGGTCATGAAGTGCTTTATATATAAGGAGGAGATTTTTCCAAGATTTGTGTATCCAAGATTTTACTGAGATCCAGTGTAGCAAGACCAGAACTAGAGTTCTCTATCTAGTTCTTGTTAATACTCTTGCAGCCGTATTTTGGATAAACTAGTCTAAAGTCTAAAGTATTTTAACAGACCTATTGAGACTAATAGAAAATTGATAGTAGCCTAATCTAGATGTAACAAACACACAAGCTTATTTTTCGCTTTCTTTTACTTTACCGATATTACCTATTTTGTTAATATTATGCAGGTGATGAAAGGCTAAGCTTGAGATTTGTCTAATATGGGGCTCAAAGGGCAAATCCTGGTAAAAAATGACACCCAGGTTCTTAACTGCGGCACTGGTGGCTATGCTGATGTCATCTGATGCAACAGTTTCGGATAAAGCCTCTCTTGGGTTTCTGGAGCAGAGCATAGTTACTTCTGTTTTATTTAAGTTTAGAAGTAGAAAGTTGCCTTCATCCAACTTCTTTAAGGCATTCCTGCAGTGTCAGCATCTGTTGTGTGTCTTCCGGATGTATGGACAAATATAGTTGTGTGTTGTCTGCACAGCAATGGAAGTTGATATTATGCTTTCCAATACTGTTTCCTAATGGGAGCATGTGTAGAATAAATAAAATCGGACCAAGTATTGAACCTTGGGGAACTCCGCAATGTGCATCCAGAGAAAGGATGGTTATTGACGTGAACAGTCTGCAGAAAATCGGACCAAGTATTGAACCTTGGGGAATTTCGCAATGTGCATCCAGAGAAAGGATGGTTATTGACGTGAACAGTCTGCAGTCTTTCAGATAAATATAAAATGAAACCATTAAAGTGCAGCTACCTTTAACAGCAAATGCCTGCGCTAATCTCTGGAATGGGGCAGTAGTGGTTTAGTGGTTAAGGAAACTGACTTAGGTCCGGAAGGCTTCAGGTTCGAGTGGCACCATCCCCTCACACTGCTCCCCAGGTCCTTAAGATTCCCCCTCACATTTCGTTGTGTCACAATAACAAATGATTCACTTTCACTTTCAGTATGTTGTGATCAATTGTGTCAAAAGCAGCATTAAGGTCTAATACGACTAGTATACATACTGGTCCGTTGTCTGGGGCTATGAGTAGGTCACTAGAAACTTTAGCTACTGCTGATTCTGTACTATGGTGTGAACTGAATCCTAGTTGGAGGGCTTCGAACAGTTTTTGGGCAAATAACAATTTTATTTATTTGAGACAGCTTTTTTTGATAGAACATTTTTGATTGTTCTATAATTTGACAGGGTTTCAGAATCTATTGCAGAAGGGTATCATTAAACGAGGCCTGTAGGGAAGTGGTTGAATGTTGAAAAATAAAAATGCCATAATTTCACGTATCATTAAAAGGGGAAATGGTTGAAAAATAAAAATGCCATAATTTCAACAAAAATGCATACTTCACCTTTAATGATATCATAGAACATAAAATGTATACATGCATATAAATGAATCTCAGGGGTTGGATTGGATGTCAAAGATCAATAGCAACAAAACAAATGCTATAAATAGTGGTGCAACCTAAGCTAACGTATTTATACAGGAGTATCTTTGGCCACAAACCCAGTCAGACAAACTGTTTTTTTCTTTTTCAGTAGGATGTTTTTAAGCGATTTCTGTCAATGCTGTAAACATTAGGTACATCACATTGCGAATTACATTGTGTCAGTGGCTCAAAAAGCGCTCCGACGCGGCTGATCCTATATCCAAAGATGAAAACATTAGGCAAAAAATACAACATTGAAAGAGGCACGAATTACGTAATGTGAACTGTATGTCTGAAAATAAATTACTCACATAAGTAAGTACTACAAGTTACAACGCAGTTGCACTCAAAGGCAATTGAAGTGAATAGGCACCAAAAAAATAACAAGGTATAGGATATTACCACAGAGTCTTCTATTCACAGAAGACATTTTATTCGAAACCAAAATTTAAGGCATCAAAAACATTTAGGTTATATACAGAATATAATATAAAATTTAGGTAAATTTATCAAACTAAGGCAAACACTGTTGCTTTGTTTATAAAGGATACGCAGTTCCAGGTAAGCAATGGTCTGACTTGTTCATCAGATCTGAGGTAGAGTGTCACAGTGCCGCAAAAGAGCATTCACTAACTTTCACCCTAAACCAGAGGTCCCCAACCTTTTAACTGTACCACCTCCAATTGACTGATATTGAAATAAATAACTACATAAAATGTATTAATTTAAGCAAATTTATAAAATATTTACCAGTTTATAATTCAAGAAGTAGGTGGCAGTAAACCCAAGATTCAGATTTGCCAGAGGATGAAATGGGGTTAAGTTGGTTTAGCCACGATTAAGACTGATGAAGTAATAGAGCACACGCTAGTACGTTGCTAATGCTAAATGCTAGCCCACAAATACTTTTACATTATGTCTTTAATTTTTGTGTATTTCTTAACTCAAAAGGATTAATAATAATCAACCCTAAATTTTGATATTTTTTACTCCACCGTGTTCCCTCTGTATATGGCGGTTATCCTTTTGCTCCCTCAGTACATCGGAGATTTTTTTTTAATCTGATCTCGCGACAGTAAAATTTTTCTTTTCTTGAAAAATAATAATTATCTAGTTCAAAACAAATCATGTAGGCAACAGTATGTAAGGGTAAATGAGATTTGGGTTGGGAAATCTAAGATACCGCATGTCATCTGTGACATACTACATATATATATATATATATATTTATATATATATATATATATATATATATGTGAAGCATTTAATTAATGTAAGCATTTAATTAATGTAAGGTAATGACCTAAATTGGACACAGGAGAGGGACCACTGTATTACATTTACAAAAAAAAACAAAACACCAGTATGAATCATAGGAATATATATACATAACTAGCGCTACAGACCAGGCTAAATGCTGAAAAAAAAAATACTGATCACAATAGCAAAACAAAACAGAATACTTCACTTTTAAGTAGGCCTGTCTCTGCAGTAGGGCTATGTAGTACAACAGTTTAACCTTACACCAATTTAAACTTGCTTGTGCAAAACTCCCCTTGCTATTCTGAAAAGTGTAAATACAGCCTTGTCCTTCTTTGTCTCCTCTTTTTTTTTTTAAGGAAATAATGTTGAATTTCTTGTTTGTCATTTTTAGACGAGGATATATATCTACCAGACATAAGCTCATAAAAGCCTGTAATACCTAGCAATATGGAACCTTGTCAGTCATGTAGCAAAATCAGTCCTTTTTTTGTTTGTCGTACTGGTCAAGGAAATAGTGGTTGAGGACCTCTGCCCGCAAGGTTTATGATAGTTTTCACAGGCATTATAAGACATGATTGAAAGATTCACAGTAGCAAATCAACTCACTCTCAGTCAATTTGGTCTCTTTGGTCATTTTGTTACCTGTATTTAACGACAGCAAACGTCATTATCGGAGGCTCTAGGCAAACATTTGTAGATACATGACTTAGCTGACATCTGAACAACAATACTAGCTAAGGCTTGTCCTGCCTTTTCTTTATAGACATAGCCTAAAATGTGGAACAGAACCTTGCATTAATGCAGCGAGTGTTTAGTGCCCTGACCAGTTTGAGCTCTGCTGTTAAATACTGCTCTTTTGGTACACAGTATGTGTAGTCAACTGCAGTTTTTCCCCCCACAGTCCAACAACATGCGTTTTGAGGATATGGTTAATTAGACACTCTTAACCAGGGGTGTCAAACTCATTTTGGTTCAGGAACCACATACAGCCTAATTAGATGTCAGTACAATCATAACATAGTCACCATATTTTCTGGACTACGAGTCGCTCCGGAGTATAAGTCGCAGTGAAAAGTTAGTGTGAAAATAACAAACGTTTAAATTTTGAGTGGTACAGAAGTAGCAGATACCAGTACACAAGCCTAGAGTGCCCTCTAGTGGGTGTAAGTGTGAAAATAACAAACATTTAAATTTTGAGTGGTACAGAAGTATAACGGTACACAATCCTAGAGTGTCCTCTAGCGGCTGTCAGTGTGAAAAAATCAACGGTGTAAAATTATATATTTTAATATATAACAACTGTGTAAAATTATATATTTTAATATATAGTCGCACCTGAGTATAAGTCGCAAAACTAATCCAAAGGTTGAAAAAAAGTGTGACTTATAGTCCGGAAAATACGGTTCCTATAAATAACCTCAAGTTCATGTTTTTCTACTTTGTTTCCTATGCAAGTTAGTACAAGTGTATTACAAAATCTTCATATTAAATGAAATATATATGTGACAAAACATCATGAAGATGAAGTGAGTCAAGCGGGCCTGATTGAAATCCCCAGCGAGCCGGTTTTGGTCCACGGGCCACTTGTTTGACACCACTGCTCTAAACTGACCAAAGACATAACATATCTTATTCTTCAATAACTGCTTTAAATTGCACTGCTTAGCCCTCAATTCTGAAAAAGGTTTCATCCACACATAGACTGATACCAATAGGTGCTAAGGTACTAGGTTTGGTTTAAACACAATAAATATTGATGGTCATATGTAATTAGCAAATTGCCATTTTCTCACATGGCAAAAATGGTCTAGCTCAGAATGTGCAATAGTCCCTATTTTATTTGGCCTCCATTACTGCCGTGAGTTTCAGGTCTTTTACGGTCTTTGGATCAAACTGATTTATTTTAATATAGACACAATTAATACCAGATATTGGTTGCTAAAAGCCTGAAATTAATAGCATCATGTAGGCCATGGGACAATTTGCACAAAAACAGTCCTTTGCATTGTTTACTGTAATTTCCGGACTATAAGCCGCTACTTTTTTCACACGCTTTGAATCCTGCGGCTTAAACAATGATGGATTTTTACAGGCTAATGAAGTTCATACCGCTACCGATCAGTGACTTTTCTGGTAGGCTACCGTGCGGTATACTAGTAGCGTATGTCTGTCTGTGAATGGCTGAAGCGTGAGTTGGTTATACAGGAGCTGTTAAAACTGGCTGATAATAATGACTACAACTTCCCTGTTTCTGTTTACCTCTGCTGCGGACACACACAAAATGAAGGGAGATAGCCCGGGAGCTAATGTTAGCTTCGGCCCTGGCGCAGTCTCCCCTGTGCATTCCAACTACAATCGGGGCTCCAAAGCTGGAAAGACCTAACATGTAACCAGCTGTGTTACAGGCACTGTTCGGGAAAAATTAATTTACTTAATTAATAAAGTAAATATGTAATATGTTACAAAGTGGAAAACTGCAGCTTATAAAGAAGTGTGGCCTATATGTACAATTTTTTTTTCTTCTTAAATTTAGTGGGTGTGGCTTATATCCAGTTGCGCTCAATAGTCCGGAAATTACGGTATATAGTCACCTGAGGAACAACCGTTATTGATTTGGTTAGAACACCTTTTCCCTGCTATAAAAATACAGTAAAATATACTCTCTTTCTCATAATTTTAGTTAAGGTTTGATCCAAGTTTAAGTTTAGTTAAGTTTGATCCACAGTTTCCGGTATCTTATTTTCCTGCAAACTTGATTGTGCTGGTATTAGCAGGATTAGCGTGGTCTAGCTAAAATCAA